ACTTACACAACAATAATGGCATGATGAAAATCACATATTATTTCTAAAAGGGGTGAGCAGAACTAATGACTGATAGCTTAACCACAATGCTAAAGCATGGGTTGGAGACTTATTGCGACACGGAAAAGTATCGCAGCTAACGATACTAATTTATAAATGCTAACTGGCGCATCAAGCTGAATGGATGTTGTTTCAATACAGTCGCTGAGGAGATCACGGTTGAAGCTGTTACACCGGCTGAGGTTGGATTAGAAGTACCGTATGATGGGGAGGTAAAGGAAGTCGACGTGCAAATACAAGCTATTGCGCCCACAGAAGTGAGCCTTGACCTCGAACAGGAGCAGGAAATCAAGCAAGTGGAGTTGGAAATTCAGCCAGTATCACCTTCCATGGCTGCCCTTGATATTCCAACAGAAGAAACCAAGGAGGTGGAGATGCAGGTTCAACCGATCGTCCCTGTAGAGGTTTCTGTTGATGTAACTACAGAAGAAACTAAGGAAGTGGAGATGCAAGTTCAACCAGGCGTCCCTGTGGAAGTTTCCATCGATATGTCTACAGAGGAAACTAAGGAAGTGGAGATCCAAGTTCAACCAGGCGTCCCTGTAGAAGTTTCCGTTGACATGGCCACAGAGGAAACTAAGGAGGTGGAGATGCAAATTCAACCAGGCGTCCCTGTAGAAGTTTCTATTGACATGGCTACAGAGGAAACTAAGGAAGTCGAGATGCAAGTTCAACCAGATGTCCCTGTAGAAGTTTCCATCGATATGTCTACAGAGGAAACTAAGGAAGTCGAGATGCAAGTTCAACCAGACATCCCTGTAGAAGTGTCCATCGATATGGCTACAGAAGAAACTAAGGAAGTGGAGATGCAAGTTCAACCAGGCGTCCCTGTAGAAGTTTTCGTTGATGTTACTACAGAGGAAACCAAGGAAGCAGAGATGGTAATTCAACCACATGTCCCTGGTGAGGTCGGCTTAGAAATCCCAGTAGAGACAACGGTGGAAGATGTTACGATGGATGTACCAAAGCCAGAACCGACTGAAGAATTGACTGTTGATCTTCCAACTGATATTGAAGTTGTTGAAATTGCCGAGGAGGATGTTGTAATGGAGGTTGCAGACGTTCCTGCAGTATCACCTGATACAGCTGAAGAAGAAGTCATGCTAGATATTCGCTCAAAACCAACAGAAGAGGTTACTGAAGTATCAGAAGAAATGGCCAGCACAATCGTTCTCCCAACCAAGCCAGAAGAAGCTTCCGAAGAAATTGCAGATGCCGCTGAAGCAGTTGAAGTCATTGTTAAAACGAAGGATGACGTCCAGGAAGAAATTGAAGAGGTGTCCGAGGAGCTTGTTATTACTCCAAAACCAACGACTGTCGTTGAAGAGATTGATGAGGAAGTTACCCTTAAGAAGGACGAGGTCACAGGTATGGTATTGTGTATTCACTGGATTTTTTCACTTAAGTACGTACTGATGGAAATTCGATAGAGCTATCACCCTCGCCAGCTGATCATGGTCACCAACCATTATTGTTGTAATGTGTATAGTTGGTTTTATGGGACTGTGATATTATAACTTGTTTACTTATTTCTATTTTTACAAAGTCAATTGATAAAATTATTAAATAATCTTCTCATATGTGGGCTTCAACCCCCCCCCCCCTGATGTATGATGTAAGCTTTTTGTCATGTTTACACTTCTTTGCCATTTACGTATGGAAAACAAAGGATGTGTTTACCTTCTAAGGACTAATCATGTTCACCACTTATTACTTGGCTTGTTTCTAATGGGCTATGTCAGTAGCTGGACATTACAACTTACTTCATTGCGTTTGTTTAAAACGCAAATCCGCAAAATAATGACATAATATGCTGAGGGTTGTGCCGTTCTGTTGCACGATTAATAGAGGGTTGAACCAGTGATTGCGCTATATAACTCAACATAACACTTAGTCTTTGCTTTGCTCATCGCAACTGAGCTCAATGCGTATAATTACTATATTGATCTAATTAGTTAGTTTACAATATCATAACCTTCAAGGTACATGTTTTGCACAAGCGCTGTGTTTCACTATGGACTCGAATGCACGCTAATCAGACATTCATGGATATGTGCCTTAATAATATTATTTAGAGATTCCATATAGAAAAATAGATGGCAGTGATGTATGCTTGTCATATTTACTATGTACACTAAACCTGATTTATTTATTATGAATTTTAGTTGTTAAATTTAACACATTTTGTTTACGTATATATTTACTCACTCAACGATAATGGCATGGTGAGAGGCCATTTAAACCGAAGTGCCACAAGACCATTCCCAAGTAGCCTGAGTTGTTTTCGCCTGTGTTGATTTGCCAAGACCAGAATTAATGACTTAAAGTTTAACCCTGATGCCAAGGTATGGTTTGGAGGTCTAATGCCACTTGGAAAGGAACGCAATTATTAATACTAATGCATTCATGCTAATAATTTACCAAGCTGAAAGGTTGTTATTTCAATGCAGTTGCTGAGGATGTCACTCTTGAACCTGGTGAGCTTGAATTAAATGTACCGTTTGATGGAGAGATAAAGGAAGTCGAATTAAAGATAGACGCTGTTACTCCTGCGGAGGTGAGCCTTGACCTTGGACATGAGGGCGAAATCAAGCAAATGGCTTTAGAAATTCACCCAGCTTCACCTTCAGTGGTTGCCATTGATATAACCACAGACGAAACTAAGGAAGTGGAGATGCAAATTCAACCAAGAGTCCCAGGCGAGGTTTCAATTGATTTAACTGTAGAAGAATTCAAGGAGGTGACGATGGAAGTAAAGCCACAAATGCCTGTAGAAGTTTCCTTTGATATTACTACAAAGGAAAGCAGGGAAGTTGAGATGCAAGTTCAACCAACAGTGCCGATGGACGTTTCTATTGATTTATCTACAGAAGAATTCAAGGAGGTGGAGATGGAAGTTAAGCCCCAAATGCCTGTTGAGGTTTCCTTTGATATTACTACAGAGGAAAGCAGGGAAGTTGAGATGCAAATTCAACCAACAGTACCGATGGAAGTTTCTGTTGATATAACTACAGAGGAATTCACGGAGGTAGAGATGGAAGTTAAGCCCCAAATGCCTGATGAGGTTTCCATTGAGATACCTACAGAGGAAGGCAGGGAAGTTGAGATGCAAATTCAACCATCAGTACCGATGGACGTTTCTATTGATTTATCTACAGAAGAATTCAAGGAGGTGGAGATGGAAGTTAATCCCCAAATGCCTGATGAGGTTTCCATTGATATACCTACAGAGGAAAGCAGGGAAGTTGAGATGCAAATTCAACCATCAGTACCGATGGACGTTTCTCTTGATTTATCTACACAAGAATTCAAGGAGGTAGAGATGGAAGTTCAGCCAGAAGTGCCTGCTGAGGTGTCAAACGATATAACTACAGAGGAAAGTAGGGAAGTTGAGATGCAAATTCAACCATCAGTACCGATGGATGTTTTTCTTGATTTATCTACAGAAGAATTCAAGGAGGTGGAGATGGAAGTTAAGCCCCAAATGCCTGATGAGATTTCCATTGATATACCTACAGAGGAAAGCAGGGAAGTTGAGATGCAAATTCAACCATCAGTACCGATGGATGTTTTTCTTGATTTATCTACAGAAGAATTCAAGGAGGTGGAGATGGAAGTTAATCCCCAAATGCCTGATGAGGTTTCCATTGATATACCTACAGAGGAAAGCA